TTAATGAAATATTGCCCTCCTATCTATTGTAGTGCAGCTAGCACATCAAAAGTAGATCATTCATCTTTTCCTATCGCTAATTTTTCCTATCCTCGCGTGCTGCAGCATGCAGCACCGACCATTGGGTTAAACCGTCTGCATATTATCGCAATTGAATTTTTAAAAAACATCTCATTATTTTAAGATATGGCAAATTGGAGATTTTTCGGCACCCACTCGGACAGCGACGACGAATGGTTCACCACCAATATAGAAGGCAGCCCACCTACTCCTACCGGGGTCTCCAGTGGGATTGCTTTCCTCAACCACAATTTATTCGATTCTGAAGGAACTTCCCAGGTCGTCCACAGGTTGCTCAGCGACCTTCACCTCGAGGAGTCATCACCGGAACCAGTTGAGACCGTTGAAAGTACTAACGGTGGACTTTTGCCTGCTCACATTTCCAGCAGCAGGTTCAACTGCGAGAGTTATGACTCTAACTGCTTCAGTTCATCAGTTCTAGTGTCCCCCGAGGTTCACGAATCCCAGCCATTCTTTAGCATCGCTCCCATTCAAGCTATGCTACGATCTGACAGCTATGAAGTCACCTGTGACTGTGACACAACCGGTAGATGCGATTCCCCTGCACCGAATTTCCCATCCGCGCATGATTCATTCCCACCGATTGTAGCCTCTCAAAATGTTGTGGCTGTTGGTCATCACGAAGTGGGACCGTCCAACTGGTATAATTCCTGCACCAGCCCCAGCAGTCTAGACAGTAGTTACGAAACAGCTGGCACCCTTCGTTCTTCAAGTCCGCCGACGCAGCTTGATGTGACGGGGGATATACGAACGGCCAACCTACTTCTTTACGACCAGTGGTCTGCTCGGCCTTTCGCAAGCCAAAGCTAACTTTGTCAAAGGATCCATCCTCCGATGATTGCCAATATCGACCTTTTTCTGTTGTACAGGTTTAAAGCTTCTCTCAAGGCCTGAAATGGTCTTTATGCGTTTTACCTGCAGATAGTAATTCGTACTCAGTGCCAAGGTGGCCAGAAGACCGATTTTAACCAAATACGCCTTTGAGGTGACCTCGGAGCTAGGAGAAGATTAACATGGAAAATAGTTCAAGCTTGGTTACTGCTCATTCGGAGCCGCACCGTCTTCCTTTCAAAAACTGCCCTAAGCTTTGTAGTACTTACCAAATGCGTATGCAGATTGCATTCCATGGCCCAGATGCGTAGGACTTGGTATAGGAGGTGTATTCGGGTTTCGCGGTATCCTAACTGCTGGTGCGCGGTGCGTCCACAGGTGGCCGACAGTAGAACGGCCTTTTGTGACGACTGGCAAAAAAGTAAACTGACTCCTAGTCCTGACGAAAACGCAGTCGTGGACTATCAGTGCTAGTGGTGCCAGGGCGCGGAGGACTGAGGTCTGGCACGCCGACGGCCTTATACAATGCCATGAAGTCCAATGACTGCACTGTGACACGGTGACCGTGAATAGTCTTTAAATAGGTTTGCTTTAACCGTCAGCCAGATGTTGCAGTCTCCAGTCAAAGAGCTGGAAATTAAAAAACTTGATAGAATGCCTGATTTCAGCATTACGATTCACTCCACAACGTCAGCGGGAACCGAGTAATCCGTGACTCTGACAGTGGAACCGGTAACTGATAATTCAGCCGATCATTCTTTCTTTATTTTCGACTGTTCTCATGACTATTTCGGACCACGACGTTCGCTACACCTTGTCGTATTTTCTCTCAGGTTAGACAGGCCTGTGAATATCCTCTTTCGTAGCAAACAGGAAGTAGACCCGTGTCTCAAGTAGCAGACCGGTCGCTGCAAGTGGTTTAAGAAAAATTGAATCCTAAATTAGAATCTAAGATCTGCCGGTCCGGATGTAACCGGCAGCCGTCATTTCGATGCCTGACACGCTTACTCGTTACGCTTGCAGACTCACTGACCTTTTCAATCGGCGGAAAGCAACACGCGCATACGCGCGCACATTCAGACGATCAGGGCTGTCTACGTCGCACGTGGAGATGCCACCCCAAGGCAAGCCACCACACATCATTTGGACACAAGCCCCCACAAACCCATAAAGCGGCCAAAACCACTGCCTCACTCATTCTCTGCTGGGCAGAACTTATGACCGCCAACCCACACCCATTAGCCTCGTCAGAAGCCAGTTCTGCCTGAGACAACAGAGAAGGGGTTCTATGCTCAATACATCCGGCATCCAGATGCCCTCTGTCTTTTCCTGCCACTGGAGACTCGGCCTGATGACTGTGGCGCCTTACGTACAACCACTACTAAAGCCGCCACACGGGGTCGGGGGTACGACTGGTTGATAATGGTAGGTAGTCAGAGTCATTTTATTGGTAGATGGGCGCTCATCGATGAGTTACGGGCTCAATCACTCGCTGTGCTTTTAAGGCTCAGCTTAGTGCCCGCCGGCATTCACAAAGCAACAGGTATTGTATGCAGAAATGGACTGATAGAAGCGAACAGGCGGGTTCCAGGGAGCAGTTCAGAAGACGAAGATGCGATCATTAGGACAAGAAATTTATTGGCCTGATGTTTTGGATTCTCACTCGAACCCATCATCAGAGACAGTGTCAGATAAGGGTAATGGTCCTAC